CGTGTTTATGTGATTATTTGGGTATGGAATGTAGTTTCTTGGATGTTGATTGGATCCTTGGGTTTCTGGGAGTCCTGCTAGAAAGGCACTTGATCAATGTTGTTTCTGACCGGAACTCTAGTAACGCCCCAGGACTATCATTATCCAGAAATGAAATTCGTAAGTGCTTATGTGTTTATGTGCTCACGTGGAGTGAATTACAGTTGTCCATGTGTTAGGACGTGAGTGTTTAGCTTCGGCACATGTATGAGTGTGCTAACGTGTCTCCGTTACTTTTACTAGGATGTCTAGGCGAGGAAGTTGCGATTTCCCTCCTTCCGCTCGAGAAGAGCTGCGGAAACAGTTTGTGGAGTTACGCCAAGGTACTACACCTTTGGTGCGGTTCGAAAGATGGTTTGTTAATCTGTCGAGATTTGCTCCAGAATTGGTGGAGACAGAGGACTTACGTTGTTTCGAGTTTGAGAGTAAACTGCGTAATGACATCCGTGTAAGGATAGCGGGGTCTTGGCTTAAAAGGTATAGTGTGCTTGTTGAGGCAGCTGCCCATGTAGAGGTTGCGGTGCTAGCAATGGGGCAGAGTGGGGAGGAAGCCATCTCGGCGACTCCTGTGACTCAGGGTGTTGGTAGGCCTTTTAAGAGGCAGAGGGTTTTAAACCCGCAACAGGGAGGTTGGGCTACAACTACCCTTCCAGTATCGGATTTGGGTTCTGGAGAAAGTAAGCAGAGGGGCATCATTTGTTTCAGATGTGGTCTGCTGGGCCACAAGGTTTCGGTTTGCCCACAGAAGAAGGGGGCAGGGTTAGCAGTTCAACCAGTAGTTGTACCACCAGGATCATCTAACCAGCCGGGTTTTGGACCGATCAAATGCTCAGTGGGGAGGCAGTTGTTGGGGTCTTCATCAGCCCAGATTCTGGACCAATCTCGTGCTCAGGCACCGCCTACCTGTTGGGTGTGTAATCAGCCGGGTCATATTCGACGTTTTTGTACTCAGCCAGGGGCTACTTTAGGGGTTTTGCAACCTAGCCAGGCTCAGTCTCATTCGACTGGGCAGGAACAGTATCGTTTTGGGGGACTAGCAGGCCAGATTGTGAGGGCCTCAGTAGAGTCGAGTTCCCGAGTCCCAGTTGGGAAAGTTTGTAGTTGTTCCAGGTGTGGACAGAGGGGGCACGTCAGTAGTTCTTGTCCATGGCATGTAAACTCATAGGTTATCTTGTGTTCGGGGATGGCCAACTTCGGCAGTCCAGCAAGGGACGGTAGTAGTAGTAATACTGATAGGATGGTTTTGTTTTGACTAATCCGTTTTGTAATCAGTGGACTATTGTTTTGTGATCATTGGGTTCTGTTGTGTAACCAATGTGTTTTGGGAATGTTGAAACATCTAAACTGTTTGTTTATCTATATATATATACATATATGCTTTGTTTGTTAATTTCCTTGGAGTGGGTGAATTGGAGCATGTCGTAGCTCTAAAGTTTTATTAATGTATAAAGTTGCTGTAAAACTCAAAAAAATTCTTTTTTTTTTTATGCGTGTGACTTGATTTGGGAAGGATGAGGGCTGAGGAGCCATGTTTTCAAAATTTGGAAGAACCACCGAGGGGTGCATGTCCTAGCCAAGGCAATATTGGAGCGAGAACTGTTTTACTTGCCGAGTGTGTGGAATTTCATGGGTATTACCCATTTAAAATTTTGTGCGTGGTATAGATTTTGGTCCACTGTCGGGTGAACTCGAGAGGATGTGAAGTGTACGATTATTACTAGATGTAACACGTATTTAATATGGTGTCCTACGGGGGCATAGCGCATAATTTTGTTAAGGTTGGACTTATACCTTCGTGGTAAGTAACGTTGCCGAGATTGCAGGTGTACTGATTGGCCATTTTAAGTGAGGGGATGTTAGTCCCTATATAAGGTTGTGATTGTTGTATCGGGAGCGATGTGTTGTGAGTAGCTGGTACTATACCTCGGGCTGTAGTATAATGGATGTTTCCCTAAGTTTTCAAATTCCTTTATTTGGATCGAATGTGATAGGTTCGTACCTTAGCACTGGTCAAGTCAGAGGATGTTATCAGAAGGGTTAATTGGGTATATAGCCCGTGGTTAGAGTGTGACCCGTGGATGGAGTCATAGTGGTATGGTGTTCGCGGATGAAGATGTGGGTTAATGACGAGGGAGGCGAGGACTTTTACTCCTCTGGAAAGTTAGAAGAGTGAATCTTTGGAAGCCTTATCGGCGACTTGTAACGGTGTCGGGGTTTGGTTCATGATGGTTGCCTAGCGGTAGTTTGGACTAGTGGTTTAGCACGGAGGCCGGGCCTTTTGATGGTACTCTTGAGATGAGTGACAAGTAAGATGTAGAGTAACGAGTGGACCCTATGAGTTATTGGGGGATTCGGTGTAGGAGTAAGAGGGCTTGCAAAATAAGGAGGTTTTGCCTAGTACGGTTGAATGTGTTAGATGTGATGGTTTCGAGAGTTGCGCGGTGTTGACAAGACTATGTGAGAATGTTCGAGGGAACGTGAGATTTATATCTCGAGTTAGTGGGAATGGTACCTGTATGTTGGTTCGTGTTTTGGGCCTTGCTAGATAGTGAGTCCGTGGTGACCCCCTTGGTTGTATAGGGGTAGTGTTCGTATTGTGATTGGTTATCCATTGTTGGGTGTGGGTTGTGAGTGGATGCTGGCAGCATTCTTTGAAGGAAGAGCAATTCGTGTTCTAAAGGAATGAGTATAGCGTGGGTTAAAGTGGTCCTTCGTATTCGGGATGTTGTGATTGAGGTTGACCATGTCGGTCTTCGGTCTAGGAAGTGAGCAGGCTTGCTAGATAACCATGGCGGGGGAATGGCGATTCCCTTAGACGCAGTGTTGAAGCGGTTAAATTTTAGGAGATCCGGTGAGATTCCAAAATTTGTGGTTGTGTAGAGAACTCCGTGGTTGGGGTTAGTGGTTTGAGTGGCACATAAGTGTGTGGATTACTGAGTGTAGAGTTTATTGAGTTGATTAGTCAGCTTGTCGGTATCGGGCTTTGGGTTGGCATTGGTCACCTTGAGTTTTAGTCTTGATGTTGTAGACTTTGTATGTTGATTAGGGAAAACTGAAACTAATCGGACATGTTTTGTCGTTGAAGCTGACGGTAGGAATAATACATCTAATATATGTATTGATTGATCATTGTGAATGATTGGCTTTTTATACATTATGTATGTATGGTGTTTAGTTTGATATTGATACAGCACTATAATGTGTATCATTTGTGTATTTCTGAGCCGTGTTTACGATTATAAAGTGGTTAAGTAAAGGGAGGCGGGATAAAATTGCAAAACCATGAATTTCTTATACCTTATGTGTTGATAGTACGGTCGTTATTTCTATTAACTATCATTATAGAAATGTAGTGTTCCATGTTGGTTATGGCATCACTATGTGAGTGATGGTTGTTGATAGTGTTATTTTGGAAAGAAATGGAAAACAAAATTTTCCTAGTGTTTGGGGCTATCTAAATGCGTTGTTGAAAAAGGGGATTTAATTCAAGGATTTTAAAGAATTCCAGATTAATCTTTTGGGCAAATAAACTGTGGATAACTCTGCGTTTTGGGTAACAGCGTATTTGTGAAAAATGTTTACAAAGCTTTTGAGTTTTCGTGTGGAAAATGCAAGATTTACCCCGGAACGTTAACGTTGAAAATTTAAACATCTTTGAGAAATGTCTCTTGAACAAGAAAATGTTTTCTTATTATCTACTCTAAAGATTTGTTATGGTCATGTTGTTGAGTAGTGACTTAGCTTGAAGCTCTAGTCGGTTATTGGTGAATTGTTTCGGGGAGGGTTTGGTTTGTTGAGGCTTGCGCACCTAAGGTGGTGTTGTTTAGAATGTGTTCCCTTGGTTAGTCTCTTCCTTGGTAGAGTGAGTCGGAGGTTTGTTTTGAAAGTAATTTCTTTCTTTGGGGCTCGGTTGTTGAATGTTCTGTGATCATTTGGCCTTCTGTTTTGGCGTATCCTTAATTTCGGGGACGAAATTCTTTAAGGGGGGAAGGTTAGAGCGATCCCGGGTTTACCCTTGTTGTACAGTGATCCGGACATGTGTCCGTGGATGATAGTAGTTGATTATTACCTGGTGTACATCCTTTCTTACTTTGTATTTGAGTTATAGGATGTGTTGGGCAGATATGTTACAGGTTGGTTGAGATTAGAAACCAAAACTAGTTGCCCAGTTTCTGGCCTATCCGCTCGAGCGGGGGTTTTGGCGCTCGAGCGGGAGTTTCACCCATCCAGTATCTCCTGTGCAGTGTTCGACGCTCGAGCGTGGTATTGGCCGCTCGAGCGGGATTGTGTGAGTGCCGCTCGAGCGGGGAGTTGGAAGCTCGAGCGGGAGACCTGTCTGCAAAAGTTCTGGGAGTGTGTATCTGCCGCTCAAGCGGGATTGTTGACGCTCGAGCGCGAGTCTGTGAGTGACGCTCGAGCGGGGAGTTTGACGCTCGAGCGGGGCGAGTTTTATATAAAGCCGAGATCCGACTTTTTTGTTCACTTTTCAACATCCTTTCTCTCTTTTACTTTTCCAAAAAGCTATTTTGAGAGTTCCTCACACTAGAACCCTAACTTCTCTCTTAGGATTGATCTAGTAGGAGTTGTTTTCTCACCTTGGGCCTTTACAAAAGTTGTATTGATCGTCGAGGGCTATCTTTTAATCTGAAAATTTCAGCATTTGGAGCATTTCCGTTTCTTCATCTCCTTCGTTGGGTCCCATCACTTGAGGTAAGGATAACCTACTCCATCTTATGAGTTTTGTCTTTGAATTTTAGCATTTTGATATGTTGGGGGTTGTTGGGAATTTTGAGAAAGTTTGGGCCTTTGTGAAATATTACAAAAGTTGAGGTTTTAGATATATAAACCCATATGCATGTTAGGCATAGAGAAATGAGATTAATGTTGGGACATTGATGGAAATGGAACCTTAGGGTTGTTTTGTGAATTATGGTAATTTGCCCTAATAGAGATTCGTTGGTTTACTTCAGTCCCTTCAATTTTGCATCTTCATTTCTCTCTCTGTGAGACTTAAAGTAATCCAATAAGTTGTTGACATATTTGTCTTGAACATTCCTGTCCACAAACAATCCTTTCATTTCTTTGATTCTCTCCCTGTATATCTTCCCCTCTATCTCAACCATCACCAATCTCAGTAACTCGGACACTGAGTCCCTCGTGAACCACCCGTCTTGCTCGTATCTGGGTACCGAGTATCCCATCTTCTTCTCCTCCAGAAGCCTAGCATTCAATCCCTGCTCTGCCAAGAAAGTCAACAAAATAAGAGCCTTCTCGAACTGTATTGCTTCAACCACCGAGCTCCACGGAGAGTGACTCAAAAACCCACCCACTGAGTCGTGACTCAGTATCTTGAGTTGAGGCACCCAGCTCGTCCACACCACCCCGCGTCCCTTCATTCTGTCCTCAAACCCATCTGGCAACTCAACAACATCAGTATCTTCATATGGGTGCCCAGATTAATTTGCGCGCACGTCAACTAATGTCCTAAAGTTAACCACCGAACAGACCTCCAGTGACTCGAACTCGAAACCTTGACCTCTAAACTGGATTTTTTTGTGACATTGATACAGCACTACAATGTGTATTATTTGAGAGTTATGGTGAAAAGTTTGTTTGATTTGATATAGCACTAAAATGTATATCATCATTGTTTGCGAAGTATGGAAGTAGTTTATGCGTTATTGATAAAACACCAAAATGTGTATCCACCTTGCATTTCGAAAGTGTTCTAGTGATGAACTATAATCTCATCAAATGTTTTGGCCAGAGTACTGAGCCTTGTTTTCAAACTCAAAGTTGAATGAGAAATGAAAAGTGAATTGTAACATAGACTTGGCTGTCATGGAATTTTTATAAGATGTAAATGGAAGCGTAAGTATTGACTATCTACCAGTTGCTAATCTTTTAGGCATTGTTCATAGTCAGTTTAGTATATTTCTACTGGGCTGTGGCTCACCCTATATGGGAACATCATTTTCAGGTACAGGTAGCACGCCACCTCTGAGGACATAGCTTGGAAGGCTAGAGGCAGACATACTTTTGTTGCCTTATTCTTTCTTGATTGTATTACATATAGATTTGAGCCTAGAACTTAATGTGTATTTAAGCTAGCACCCTCTTTTGTAACCAAGTGTTAACTTGGAAAGCTGTAAGCCTGTAAGACATTTGCTTCTGTTGTAACCATGTAATACTTTTGTAATGAAATACTCTGATGAATAGATGAATGTGGACTTTTATGTATCAATGCATGTCTCTATATAGATGTGTTTAATGTTGTTATTTTGAGGGCGTTACAGGAGTAATGCATATTTTCGAGGGCAATGCTTTGGAGAGATCTGGTTGAATGTAACTGAATCTTTCAATTCATGGATACGGGAGGAACACCATTTACTTATCACAAAGTTGATTAATAGTGTAAGAATTAAGTTGATGAAGAAAATTGCTAAGAAGAAGGAGCTTGTTAATAAATGGAATGGCGTGATATGCCTAGGGGTGTAATTGAGCCGAGCCAAGCTGAGTTTATCAATGTTCGAGCTCGGCTTGATTTATTTTGAAGATGTTCGAGCTCAGCTCGAGCTCGAAGCGAGCCCAATTATGTCAGCTCGAGCTCGGCTCGCATAAAATTTGTCTAACTTGAGCTCGGTAATGTCCCCAAATATTTTGTTTTAAATAGTCAATGCATAAATTAATTGAGTAATAATTGGATTGGAGTGTTGTGTAAAGTTATGTGCGAAAATGGTTCAATTTTGTAATAAAAAAATTTTTTAAAAAAAATATAATTTTCGATCTCATAAATTAAGAAATTTTTATTATGTTGTTCTTATAAGAGTCTAGCATGTTGGATAAAAAAATTGGAATTTAATGGTGACTATTTACTTTATGAGAATTTGCAGACTAATTAGTGTTCAGTTTAATTTATAGCAGAATTTGAAATTTGAGTTTTAGGTGTTTGGACCATGATTTGAGATAAATTTTTGGGTCTATTTTGGTATATAATTAGACTATGTTTAGCTTATGGGTGTGACCCATGATTTATATTTAATTTAAATTGAGTTTGTTTAATGACTAATGTTTAACTATTTGGTCCTTTTTAATTACATGATTGGTAGTAACCACCTTAGGAGTTGTTATTATTTATTATATAAGATTATAATAAATATTTGATAGTTGATTTTATGGTGTGTACCACATGGTGAAAGAAATTATATATTTTTATAGTGAATAAAATGGGTGTACATTTTGTGGTGTATAAAAATGTTATATTTTGTGGTCAGAAAAATTATATCATTTTATAATTTATATTATAAAATTTTGAAATATTATTACAAAAATTATGTTTTGGGGGAAATCAAATTTTGGGAAGCAAACCCACGTGGGTTGCCTCCCCACTTTTTCCTTCCATCTTTTCATTTCCTTTTTTATTCATTTCTTTTTAGTTTGGAGCAGAGAGCTCCGCCCCATCTCCCTCTCTCTCTCTCTCTCTCTCTCTCTCTCTTCCTCTATTGTTGGCTTAAACTTTAAGCTTAGAGTGTGAGTATTTAGAGTGTGATTTTGCAAAAGTGTTATAAATGAAAGTCGAAAAGCTCCTCGTGATCTTCGCAATGGTGGTCTTGGAGAGCTTGTCGTAATCTTCGCAATGGTGGTCTTGGATCCATGATCGGACGATGTTTGCATTTTTGGATTTGTTTTTCTTCATATTTGAGGTAAGAATTTTCTTCATATTATTACTTTAAAGCTATGTTAGGGATATTTTAAGAAAATATGTCATTTTTAGAGGTATTGCACATATATATATATATATTCAGATTTTTGTTTAGTAATTTTTTGAAAGAAAAATTATGTTGAAATGTTAAGAATGTGGGCATTTTGAAATTGATTTGGAAAAATCATTTTGTGTTGATAATTTTATAAAAAAAAAAATTCGAAAATAAAATTTAAAAGTTGTATGGATTGTATCTACATCATATTTTGATTAGATGATTTATTTTCAGAAATATAATGTTGAAATATTTTTTTCATCTTTGATTTTGGAATTTATTTTTGAGAAAAATAAATTGGTATTGAGGAATATTGTGTAAATTGTTGAGTTGGGATTATAGAGTTATTTTGGGATTAAATATTCTAAAAGTGTTATAGTCATGATATTTTATGCAAAATAATTTGTTGATGATTAGGTTGTGTTCATATTTGTGAAAATGAAAATGTAAAATGTGGACTTTTGAACTCACAACCTTAAAAATGTTACTCTTGGGCATATTTTATAATTTTTGAGGTAAATATCATGTTGATTAGGTAATTTTAGAAAAAATTGTGAAATTGTTATTTGTAGAGATTTAGGGAAAATTGGCTAGGCATGAAATGTGGGTGTATTTGAGAGATGAGACATGTGAGGTTAAATTTGGTGTTATTAATTTGGGAGATGGTGAAAATAATGAACTTGCTAATTTGACGAATTAAATTAGTTTGGCTAATATTTTAAATCTTTTGTAATTAAAGGGGTGTTATTGGGTTTAATTCCTAATTTGAATATTTGAGATTAAAAGTGACGAAGTTGACCAAGTATGAGATTTGGAAAATAAGCAAGATTGAGTTGATGCGGTATGCTATTGGGTTCTTAGTTTTACTAGCTGAGTAATGTTATAATAATAATTTCATACTTCAAAATTTTTATGAGATATTTGAATTGTTTGGCGGTTTTTGACAAGAAAATAATATAATGTGATTTTAGCTCGTTTAGGACAAATGGATGAATTGGATTAAAACAAAAAAAAAATGACTTATCAAAAATTTTGTTTATTTATTATTTTTCCTTGGTTTAATTCGATGGGGTGGATGTTGATAATTGGAAAGTGAACACTCGTGTTATAATTTATAATTATAGTCAATAGAAGATTTTGATATAATTGATTAAGTGTTGGAATATTCACTTATGCTTAGTGAGAATTATGATTGAACTTAAAGATCCCGAGATTTCACTTGCATGAGAAAAATGGGAATTTGATTTTATTTAATGTTCGGGATGGGGATGAGTTTGGAAAGATTGAAATTACCTTTCATTGATAAAGTATGCGAGTTAGAAATTGATGAAACCTTGAACCCACCTTGGTGTTATACGTTATTGCTATTGATAAACCTATTGTTTAAAAGTTTTGATTTTGGTAATTGGTAGAGGATTTCCATGTTGGTATTTAAATGAGGAGATTCTTGGAAAGATAAGAAAATGTTTGATTTTGGAAGTTTGTTGTGTATAAAGAATATTGTTGAATTGTCTTGAAAAGACTAATTTGGAAGTTGTTGATCTACATGTGGTGAATACATGAACATTGGCATTATTATATTATCTCTTGGGATTGTATCATGGTATAACATTGATAGAGATATGGAAATTGATCACAATGGAGCATTGTGTGGTGAAATTGAAATTCGAACTCTTCTAATTCATGGTTACATATTGCATTGCCATTCTATTTCATTGTTATCATGGATTTCGAATTGCCATTGAAAACTATTGTTTTGGAGAGAGGAATTGTTTTTGTGAAACAAAATCATTGGGATTTTGTAGACACCCCATTTTTGACCGACCTTAAGACTCATTCAGAGGTTTTAGAGTCTCGGCTGCGAGCCTTGCCTCCGGACTTCCGGACTCTTTCATGCTTTGCCTCGGGTTGCGACCCAGGCTCTGTTTTCTCGGTTTTCTCTTCCCGAAGGGAGGGAGAGGTCTTGTAAATCATCTCTTAGTGGTCGTAGGCTACGTTTCGTGGTCGTAGGCCATTTTGCCTGTTGGGAGTCCGGTTTTCCGATTTTTCGGAGCCGTTGGCCGTGTGCCTCGGTTCGGGACCACTTGACCACCCCGTTTGCTCTGGTTTTTGGCATGTGTCTTATTTGCTCCCTTTTGAGGGACACTGCGGTCCAAAAAACCAACTTCGTGGTTGAACACCACTTCCGGTGCCTAACAGTCAGTTTTCGGGGCCTCGGGCTGCGCGTTTCGGCCCCCGAACCTCCATTTTGCATCGGTTTGAGTTCATTTTTGGTAGGGACCTCTGTTTCATTGTTAGGAAGGTCGTGAAAGGGTGAGAGGCCAGCAATTGTTCTGACAACCAGTTATATTCCTCCATCGCCCTCCGTCGCCCGTTTTTCTCACCTGAAAGCCAATGTTGACCACCCTAAGGCCACTTTTTCTTGCCCCAAACCACATATTTGTGTTGTACACACCTGGGAGGCCACCAATATCACATGGCTAGCCAATAATTGTGTTTGACTCTTTTGAACCCCTCCAAAAAGTGGGCTTTTCTCTCTCCTGGTTTACTTTCTCCAGTTTTTGACCACATGGTTGTGTTGTGCACACATGGGAGGCCACCAATCCGGGGTGGCCGGCCACTAATACTTCTTGAGCCTTTTGACCCTTGGCTAGCCGGCCATGGGGAGGGCCGGCTGGCCA